TTGTGCGGGTTGGTAGCAATACTGATCTGCCAGAGCAACACTTTTCTTATAAATAAAAAATCAAAGAAATAATCATGAGTCATTTATGTAAAGAAAAATATTTCAAAACGAAAGTACGTAAATCAATCGTAGTTGAAATTATGAAGGGAATTTTCTCACACGTGCCTTATCTTCTATAACAATTATTCGTCTATATTGGTATTTTATTAGTTTAGATAAAATTTGAATATAATTGTATAATTCAATTATTATGTGGTACCTTGATTTACATTGATTCTATTATTTACACTATCATCATTGAAAGTATTAAATAAGATAGTTTTAAAAAAATATTATAAGGAAAAAAACAAACGCCTTTATGTTTGATTGATTCAACTACTTCACAATAACGAATACGTTTTATCTGAATGTGTCATAAATAATATAGAATACATATAAGATAATTGATTCGATCAATAAATCTTACAAAACAGCGATACAATATTTGAAAATGCGGGTTGTAAACTGCATTTTAACACTTTATTCTAAGAATAGTCTACAATTAGTTTATCATTGGAAGTAATTGTGGCTTTTACCAGTTTCAGATCGAATGACAAATAAATTGTTAGACAAAGAGTGCATCTTCTCTCTCTATGTTACTGTTTTAGTTATAATAAAAATGTTGCTCTAACGGATTAGTATTGCAACATGTATCTGATCGGTGAAGATCGTTTTTTTTCTTTATGATATTATAAATAAAAAATAAAACAAAATTGTAGTGGCTTATAATAAAAATAAAATTATAATAAGGAGGTTAATGGAAAGTGAAAGATAGTTTGATTGAAACGACTTTCTGTGTTATATTTTTCTGTATATGGATGTATTTTATCCATCACTAGTATCAAATTTGATGCGAGTATAAAGTTGTACTAGTTTATCGAAACCGGATAAGCAACCAGCACCAGCAATACTTCCGAGAATATTGATGTGAGCTCCTTTGAATAATGAAATCACACCTTCACTACGGATAATTTGGAACATACAATCCATAGATCCTTTATATTTAACAGCGTGACCTGATGTCATCATCATACGTCGTCGAATTGTATCAACGGGATATGAGATAAAACCAGATGTGACTGTTACACCATAACCGAGTAAAAATGAAAGCATGATACCAGCATCGGGACCGAGTAAAATTGGTTTTAATGTATCATAGAAACCGAAGTAACAACCACGATAGATGACGGCATGGACGCATGAAATAACAAAACCACGATAGAGACCAGCAATACCTTCGGTGGCCAAAGTTTTTTTGTAGACATCAACAAGATCTTTGTATTGATGTCCACCACCAGCTCGCGTTCTACTTCTTACATCGTTAGCCAAACGTATACGAGCGTTATTGAGTGAATAAACACAAAAAATTGATATTGCACCGGCTGCACCACCACTTGCTACATTTTTAGCAAAATTAATCATATAAGAATCATTTATATTTTGTTTGAATGCTGCTTCGATTTGATTTTTAAAAGCAAAGTTCGAAGATTGAATTGGAACATATCGAATACAACTGGATACATTTCCTCGCCATAATGGAAACGGACCTGCACGTTTAAAAGTTTGAACGATACAATCAATAACACCGTTGTATGGTTTGGTAATTATACCTTGTTTAAGCATTTCACTTTGAAAAGTAATAAGAATTTTTACATTGTCAAGAGGACTAACTGCTGATCTTGAAATAACAGCAGCAACACCACTGAGTACAGAGTTTTCGATGAAATTCAATTTAGGTTTCTTTTTCATAGTCATTGCGTTTTAATATAATATGAATATCTTTGTATGTTGTAATAAGCGAATTTTCTGAAGGGTCTCAGTAGCACGACAAGTTTTTGCACAACTTCTACAAGTTACAGATAAAGAGACGATAGATATCGTGCGCTTCACAGTCTCTTGAAAAGTTCCTTATCACGACATACCAAGAGATGTCAACAAGTGATCCATCTACTGCAATTGATGTTGATTTAACACGTTCGACAAATGGAATATGGCTTGTAAAAGTACCAAAATATTTATCACAAATTCTTAGTGAATATGGAGATGGTGCAATAAATGGTGAGGTTGGACGTTTAGTTTTACGACCACCATCACAACAATCCGGCAAGGAAGCAACAAAAATGTCACCTGCTGCACGTACAAAAGATGTTTCATTTTGTCTTAATGATCAAATTATGAAAAAAATAAAAGAAAAAAATTCATCAAAAGATTATACATTACCACCACCAGAACATCGTTTCTGTTTTACTGATATATCTGATGGTGTTCTTCGTACAGTTTATTCTCGCACTAAAAATCATTCCAATTCACCAACGCGTGAACAAATATCAGTTGTTGGTAAAGTTATACGACGTGCTGAAATTCGCCCAGTTGAAAATGAACAATATATGTCAATGAAACGAAAACATTTTGAAACATCACAAGAACCAGCACGTAAAGCTCAGATGATAGATAAGATAGCGAATGTTTATAAACCAAAACGCGATCATGAAGCAAATATACAACGTAAAAAAAACGAAGCAACAACGGAAAAACTTGTACGAAGCCCAGAAGAGATTGTTGTTGATCGTATATTTGAAGCTTTCACAAAAAATCAATATATATCAATGTCATCACTTCAAACAATAACACAGCAACCAAGAAATTTCTTACAACAGCTTGTTAAAAGATATTGTAATTATAATAATGCGGGACATACATATGAATTAAAACAACAATATCGACATTATGGTACACAAAAAGAGGAAAAAGATGATGATGATGATGATGATGATATTGAAGATGATGACGATGATACTGAAGATGATGACGATAACAATATATAAATATTTTTTTTCTTCATTCTTGATTATTTTAACTCTATAAATATTGTTTAAAATCAAATATTCTATTCTAGAACAGAGCAACATTTTTCCAATAAATAAAAACTTAAACAAATAATAGTTAGAGATTTCTGTAATGATGTGTTACAGTAAGTGAGAATTATCTTTTTATTTAAAGAAATCAGTTATTTTTATTTGTATTTAATTACTATTGATAAAAATTGAATATAATTGTAAGATTGAGTTATTAAGTAAATTATGCAATATCTTCATTAATAACATTTGTATAAATCACATACTGATGAATAGTTATTAGAACAATCGATGAAAATGATTCCATCTTTTTAAACTATCATCATTGAAAGTATTCAATAAGATAGTTTGAAAAAAATATTATAAGGAAAAAAACAAACGGCTTTCTGTTTGATTGGTTCAATCGCTTCATAATAATGACTATATATAAGATAGTTTATTCAATAAATAAATCTTACAAAACAACGTTAATGTTCAAAGATGTATGTTCTGCTGTCGCAGAAATAAATACGAACATGCAGATTGTAAACTACATTTTAACACTTTATTTTAAGAATATTAGACAAATGAATTCTGAGCAGTGTATAGTTTGATTTAGAAAATGATAAATAAATTGTCAGGCAGGCAAAGAGTGCAATTTCTCTCTTTTTATATTATTATTTATTTATAAGAAAAAGTGTTGCTCTGGCAGATTAGTATTGCTACC